TTTTTTAATTATATTATTAAGCGGGACGGGGACGGGGACGGGGACGGGAGCGGGTATGGGGTCGGGGGCGGGGTGGGTATTAACATCCCCGCCCCCACCCCCGATTTTATCAATCGGGGAAAACCCGAACCCGAACCCGATAAACACGGGTTTTCCCCATCCAAATCGGGGTGGGTTCGGACGGGTACCCACGGGGTGGGTTAGATTGCCATGCCTAGTAAGGACCAAGATCAATCTTTTTTAAGGACTAAGTCTAAAATCAACAGATTTTATATTTACAGGGATTAAAAAGGCATTGTATTTGTATACACCAGTCGTGTTGGGGAAGGATTAGTGGTCACTTGTGAACTTTTTAAGAACATTTTGAATATTCTCTTCATTATTTCTCTTCTTTTGTTAATTGTTCGTGTCTTTTTTTGTTTATACTTTTAAATAGGTTCTGCAAGCCAATTATGACAAAACCAAGGCCAGCCAAGCCGGCTACTTCCCCAGGACCAGGAACCTCATCTTCACAGGGTGATGAGCAGCAGCAACCTCAGGGGAGTGGTGAGACCAATAGTAATGAGAATGCTGGGGATAGTAGTCATGCTGCACCATCATCTACTGAACCAATGGAGACTGAAAAGTCTGACAGTGCAGGCTCTGCCTAATTTTTGTTGTTGATTTGCTTTGTTCGCATGTTCATGCCCATACTAGTAGTCCCTACTACCTTTGTATAAGCATATGAATTGGGCCCTCTGGGTTGGTTGATAGTGAGTGGTCTCCTTGGAATTGGATGTTTGGTGTAAGTAGAGCCCTCTAGGTTGGTTGGTTTGTTGGTATCGTAAGTTTTAATTAATATTTTGGTGGTTCTTTGGAATCCGGATTTTTTTTCAAAGAGTTTTGATGAGAAGACGATAAAGTGGTGCATGCCTTTCCAAATCCGGTGGGAATTGGTCAGTAACTTTCTCGAGGTTTATAGATTATTTGTATAAGATTTTTAGAATATGAATTATAATGTTTGTTTCCCTTTTAATACTTTTAATTTTATCTTGCATTATACCAATTGTTATAAAAATTGGCTTAGACCGAAATGGTTCGATTCCAACTAGTGAAGTCATATAATTCTATTGATGTAGTTGTTAGATCAGTGTAGAACATGTTACTTGATCATTTTTCCGAGTGAGCTGGTGATCTAATTGTTCAATCCGTTTTAAGTCAATGGGTGATATGGAGGGTTTTTGAGTGAAGCAGGGTCATTATCCAGTTGGTCCGCCCAGTTTGAGTGAATTAGTGATTTAGAGGGTTTTTGATAGAAGCAGGTGTTGTGAATATTTTGGGATTTTTAAAAGTAAAATATACTATTTTTCTAATGATTCAAATTGAGAGTTTATTTAGGGAACGAGTATTTTTTTAATAAATTTTTTTTATAGTTTTTTTAATGCATGTCAATTCTTGCGGTTTGAGTCGTTTTACAGGTAATATAAAGAGTGCTTGTTTAGTTAGTACTTAAAATTAAGTTTACTCACAAAGATATATTCAAATATAAGATTTATTTTAAATTGATTTGTGCACACATTTTAATTATCTTCTATGGTTAAAATTTAATTATATCTGAATCCAAATCAGTCAGATACCAAGATTGTGATTGAAAAATCTTTCAAATAAAAATTATGAATTTGTTGAAATTTTAAGCGTTAATTATTTTTCAATCAATAGTTAATTATTGTATTTTATTTTATCTTACATAACCACAAGATTGAAATTTCTAAGTACCCAATCAATATAATGGTTGAAAATAAATTTCATTTCTCAACCTGCGAGTATAGGTTCTGAAATCCATGTCCACAATTGTGCACATTTGTTTTACGTGCATTAATGCATTCTTTCTGATTTTCTATTCAACTTTCCTTCCAATAATCTCTGTATATATAACAATGAAAGGCCTGAATTGTTGACGTTAGAAGTCACATATTGATCCACATCACATCAATCTTAAAAATTGAAAAAGAAAATATATAATAAATAATAAATTAAATTGTTTAATTTGAATATGAATCAGAAGAGATGCTACATATAACACCCAAGTAAAATAAACTATTTGAACAAGGATAAGAAACCAGCAAGTCTTCCTCTTGTTTTGACCAACACAGTGATGGGAAGTTTGACTAGAGAGCGAAAGCTTCAACAAGAGGAATGGAGGGGGGTGAAGACAAAAGAGAAGGCTACAAGGGCCTTTTTTGTTGGAAGATATTACAATAACTGTTATAAAGGCTTCAATCGGCATCAAATAAATTTCATACAAACCTGGCAATTCTACTCTACTACTGAAAAAATAAGTTAGATAGGGTATTGGGCTCAATTTTTATTTCTGAACATTGGACCTGTAATGTGGTTGGACCATCTTGTTCTAGCTCTGTATAATTGCAACATTCATGGCAAAAATATTGCCTTACAAGTCATTTGAAAAACCAGAAGGTGAAAAATGCCTAAAAAATGATACAATTTATGTTGCATGCCTAAAAAATGATACAATTTTATGTTGCATAAAAAAATGGGATCTATATCTCATAAAACATCACACACCATTCCCACTAGAATCTTCATTCTCCTCCTCATCTCTCTCTGTTGTCTTTTTTTATTATTTTCAATCTTCTCATATATCTCACTAAATTTTGGAATGTAATCGGTAACCAATTTGAATGAAGAATCTTCATCACCTTCACTTGGGTTCCCTCCTTTGGTTGAAGTCCATGTCCATCTAACCTTATTCATCCAACTCAATTCATTGCCACGGTTGAAAACAAATAAATCTTCACCAAACCCTTGGATTCTTTTTCTAATTTAGTTTTTCCCCTTTTTGTACCTTTTCTTGTGTAAGTATGTGAATTTTGTTAATAATTGTTGATTTTAACAATTTATTTATTGTTGTGATTAGTTGTTTCATGATTGTTATAAATAATGTTGGTTAGAAGTTGTTTTGAGTTAAAGTCAAAATTGACTAAGTTTAAGGGAAAGTATATAAGATTTTCTTAATACATGAATTTCATTAGTTCATTTTCTTAAGAAGGTTAGAGAGATACTTTAAAGTAAGAGGAGAACCATTTTCCTTTCCAACTTCACGAATTTCTTCCATCTTTCCCCTAAGTGTAGATTTTGTGATTGTTTAGTGATTCAAAGCTTTAGAACCGATAATTAGAAGGTTGTAGTTGTCATGCGGAGTTAGCCCAAGAAACTTGATTTTCTTTTTCTTCCTCTATTTTATGCAATTGGAAGTAAGGGAAACTTATAACTTGAATTCTTAATATGAATTGTATATGTTGTATACTATTTGATTTCATGAATTTATGGTTAAATTGTTGTTGATGATTAGTATGGACCTTGGTTAGAGTTTCTTGTGGGTTTTGGTGAAAATGAGAAGAAATTGGTGTAGGTGAATCTTTGTTGGTTTCATGTTGTTTATCTAAATGTTTGGGTTGACTATGGTGAATGATTGAATTTTTTGGTGTCGTGTGTTGCTTTGGGCAAATTTTCAAGTGAAGGGAGCCAAAATTGTGATTTTGTCAGGTGTAGAAATGACCATCGCATCGAGCATAACTTCATGACGTTGGGCATGATGCAGACCAAAGGTTCTCTGCCTCACTAACGTTAGACACAAAATTGGTAACGTCGGGTGTGAGTTTGAGGAGAGCACTCTAACTTGATCACGTTGGACGTTAGTTGAGGAACATCGGGCGTGATTGTCTTGAGGGCTCCCTAACTTGGTAACATAGAACCCCAATTTGAGTGGTAGTAGCTCTCTGCCTAAACGAAGTCAAATGTGAGTTAAATGCCATGGAGTGTGAGTCAGGGAAAGACTCTATGCCTTAATGAGGTTGAGCGTAGGTTTAACCACATTAGATGTGATTAACATAGGGGTTCTCTACCTAACCCACGCGGGGTGCAAACATAATGGTGTCAAGCATGGGTGAGTTAGAGATTCATTGCCTCAATGACATCGAGGGTGAAGAGAATGGTGCCAAGCATGGATTACCAAATGAAAATGTGTTATTTATTTGACTAAGTGTTGAACATGTGTGTAATAAGTTGAAATTCTCACATGAATTATGTTATGAGATTCTAGTTCATTATGCGTTGATTTAAGATATATGATAATGTTGAGTTGTTTCAGTTGCATGTTGATTATGAATGAAAGTTGAATAGTAGTAGAATTGTATGTATTGTAATGTTAAAAGTAGTTGTGATGTGAATGCTTGAAGCATGAAGTTGAGTTGTGTTGATTGATTTAGGATTAGAGGAGAGGTGTTGTTTTAAAAGATGAATATCTTATTATGAGGATATGGTGTTGTAGTTCTCTGAGTTTAATTGTTGAAAAACCTTTATTGAGAATACTTGTTTCTTAAAGTGCAGACTAGAGTCTCCTCTAGGTCCTTAATAGATACAGTTTGGGGTCAAGTTGACTCATATAGATTATGAAGTGACCAATGTAGAACCGTTTGGGGGCAAGGTCAAGTCATACGTGTATGAAATGACCAACTAAGTAAGGTACAAGATTGGAGACCAAAATCCCTAACTAAGTACTAAAAGGGACATAATATGTGGAGGCTAGTCAACGGCCTAAATCCATATAAACTTAGTCATGCATGTTAAAATTGTGGCAAACTCACACCCAAGTTGTCATATCCCTAATAGAAATACTGGATTTTCCTAGTTTAAGTGACAAAAATTTGAGAAACCATGTTCTATTGTGGATTTTATTCAAATTTGTTATTGATCTAGTAAGCCCAAAAAGATCCCATTGTTAAGTTGGTATAGTAGGGTCAAACCACTTAGACTACTCACATGTATTATAAGAAATCTATTAGTTGAATGTGTGATAACGCATATAGTTGTATTGTGTATATGTCATGATCAATAAATCTTGTTGTTTGTATGCTAAGTTAATATGTTGACAAATTATATGGTTGTGTTGTAAGTTGTTGCCATGTTGTTAAGTTGTAAAACTAAGTTTGTATGTTGATTTGTGTTGTTAAGTTGAACATTGTGCTATTATGAGTTGTTGTACTTGTATGCTATGTTGTTTCTTTTGAATCAAAGTTTGCCCTTGCATTTTTCTTATGGTTGGAGTGTGATCATCATATTTGTTAAGAGTGATAATTATGTGTTTTACTTAACCTTAAGTGTGTAAATCACAATAATCATCTTTCTTTTTCCTTATTTCTAGTAATGTTAACCTTTTTTTAGCACGAGTTAGTTAGTTTTGCAATTCTTGTCGATCCTTTAGAAGTTTTGGACCAAATCTCATGAATGGAACTCTTTTGTAGAAAAACGAGGATGAAAAAAGTTGAGGACTCCAATATTTAAGGATCAACCAAAAGCAAAGAAGTGACTCATCAAGTTTTCGCTCAACGAGCCAATCTGGTCACTAAGCGAAATTGACAGATGAAAAGCACGAAGTCACTAAGCCATTTTCCAGCTTAGCAATCCTACTTTAGCTTAACAACATTAGGCCATAAAAGCTTTCTCTTGTTGAGCGAGACTTAGGCGTTAAGCGAGAGACCTTGGAAGCAAAAAATAAATTTTCTCGCTCAATGTGATATTATGGTCGCTAAGTGAAAAATTAGTAAACATCTGGACATCTAAAGTAAAAATAATGTTCTATATTAAGGCAAACTTGGAGATTCATGTGAATTATTAAATACATAGTTGAAAAGACTCCTAACAACTGGAATAACCTTAAAGCTTCATTTCTTCATCTTTGTCATTTAATCTTTAATCTTTGTGCTTCGCATGACTATGAATAGCTAAACTCTGCTTCATCAATCAATGTTTTATTCCATTATTTAGTATTTTTCTCTTCTCTTAATGCTTTCTTGATTATTATTATCTTGAGTCGATGATTTTACTTTAGTCATTCAGAAATGCTTTTTGAGTTGTGTATGACCTAAAACACCCATTGAATATTTTGTTTAGGGGAAAACATGAGTTCAATGGACATTTTATATTTATCCATGTTTCTATTGCATGTATTTCAATCACTTTAGTCGAGAGATTAATGATTTGGGTGAAATACATGGTTTTAAGCCACTAAGAGATTAGAGCTTGGAGATTTTCAGTGATAATGTTGAATAATGGTGTAAAATATTGATGAAAATCCTTTGATAAACTAATACATGATGGTGAACTAGTAAAATTCAATCCCAATGATCCTTTCCATTTGATTCTCTTAATATCTTGTTGCCAAGTGTTCAATAAAATTTTCAAAATCAACTATACAGTTAATTGCATCTCTTTATTGTGTTTAAGTTTATTTATGTGAAACAAACTTCATTAAATTGAAATTTTATTCTTTTGAGTTATAATATAGAGTGTTGAGTTATAATTGTCATATATTGCACAAGTTTCTTTTGAAGATGATATTATTTCGAAAATACTATATGCAATTTGATACGGTTACCAAACAATCAACAATTAGAGTAAAGCAAGAATAGGTTGCAAGTTGAGCGTGTTTTGTGAGGCATGTTGAAGGATGACGATGTTGTTTTGAAACTATTATGATATAGATGTTTTGTAATTATTACTTATATTTAGAAACTCTTTCCATGGTAATCCTAATTAGTTAGAATTATACTTCCATTGCTATAGTTGTTGAATTGTGTAAAATGTAGGAACTTATCGATTCTTTACATCTTGAGTTTACATTAAAAAAAAATTATATTAATATTATTTATTTAAGAATATATATTATAAAATATATTTTAATTTTAATTTCACACTTCTTTATTTATATGATGAGTTTACATTTGATTTTAAAAATTATATATATCTCAATAAATTAGGTTATAACAAAATAATTTGATTGTTATTTTTTTTTCGTAAGAGCGATTTTAAAACCAGATTTCATTTGCTTACGGCTTCCAAAATAGGAGTATATAATTTTATCATCCTATAAAACTAAAAAATATTCTGATAAATGTTTTATTAATTTTGCCCTATAACTTTGTTTCGATTTCAATGTGAACTTTATTCTAATCCAGTGTAAATGGAAAACATACTTATTTATTAATTTAAATTTCAAAATGTAAAACCTACCGACCACAGTGGGAGTCGAACCCACGACCTTTTGATCCGAAGTCAAACGCGCTAATCCACTGCGCTATGCGGTCAACTATGTGAAGATCTTAGAAAAGTATTTATCTAAACGCATGCTTACAGTGATTTGAAAAACTATCAACATTGTTTCACAGCACACAAAAGTAAATATAAGAGATGCGATATATAAACGATTTATTTTTTAGAGGAAAAGTCCTGTTACTCATAATTAATGTCAATCATTATATTCTTATGAAAATTCTAACATATTTTCATAAAATTAATAAAAATAATATAAATTTTAGAGGTCTTATAAAAATTAGAACATTTTTTTCTATTGTAGTATTGAAAGTCTACTTAACAAATAAAAAAATGCCATAATTATTATTATAATAAATCAACCAATGATGATAAATATGTATATACTAATACTAAATAATATTTTTAAGAATAATGTAAGGATTTGATTGACTGTTTTAATAATAATATCTAGTATTAATAAATATTAATTGTACTTATCTAAGGACATACTCATAATCTTCTAAGTCTAAAGGTTGAACGAGAGCTCTAGACGAATGCTCTAAAAAAGGGAAGGATACCTATAAAAGGCACTTTGACGCTCAAGTCAAAACAAACATGAATTTCGATAATAATACTCCTAGTACACAAATATTAAATAATACTGCATGGGTACGCCAATCTTACTCATAAATGATATGTTCTAATATAATTTTGATATTATTTCTTTTACATTATCAATGTAAATGCTATTTATTTATATAGTTATTTATATACTTAGATGATTATGTTATTAATTATTGAGATAAGGATGACAAAAAGTTGTTCTAAATTTTATAATTATTTAAATCTATTTTTAATTTTTAAAAATAAATAAATTATAATTTTAATAAAAAAATGTTTTTCATCATAAACTAAAGTTATTAATTCTAGTCTAATATAAATTAAAATTCACCAATTTTAATTTATGTAAATTTTAATTATTTGATTTTTTTAAAAAAATCTCGAATAACTGTTCTTAACATTTTTTTTAGAGATGTCATTTACTATAACATATAATAATAGGTAATATTTGGAATGATCAATTGGTCTTCTATAAAATATTAAAGTAACTAATAAATGTACATCATGAAATTATATTTACCTTCTCTAATATATGTACAAATCACATACATTTTCTTTTTAATTTTTGAAAAATCTTCACCTCCTTTATAATAATGTGAGAAAAATAAAAAAAATTAATTTATATTTCATCAATTATATATGTCTATTTTTTGCTTTTAAGAAATTTTTTATTATTTTTAAAATTTAAAAATAATAATTTCTCAACCTATTCTTTAAAATTATTTTTAAGTCACAATTAGGGATGGCAACGGGGCGGGGCGGGTACGGGTTTCATGATACCTGTCCCCGTCCCCGCAAGTAAAACTCATCCCCTAAAAATGAGAACGGGGACGGGTACGGGTACGGGGCGGGTAAGTACATACCCGTACCCGTACCCGTACCCGATTCAATATATCGGGTTTTACCCGTACCCGTACCCGTACCCGGTCAAACCGGGTATTCCCCGTCAAAGTCGGGACGGGTTCGGGTATTACCCACGGGTACGGGTATATTTGTCATCCCTAGTCACAATATACGTGATATTTATAATATAATTTGAGAGTTAAAATTGAATAATATATTAAATTTCATTTAATTAGTAACATTTATATTAATAATTTATTTTTTTTAATAATATATAATTAATGTTATCTTAATATCTTATATAAGAAGTTGTATGTGTCACGTAAATAAATAAATAAAATTCAGGTTTAAATATATTTTTAGTCCCTTAAATTTAGGATAAATTTATTTTTGATCCCTCAAATTTAAAATTATTATCTTTAGTCCTTGAAATTTTCCGACACTAAAAGTAATTTCATGTTTTAGTAATTAATGTTTTAGGAAATCAACTTTTAGCGAAACAAGTAGAACCCATTTTCTAAGGGTGTAGTTATTTTTGTTATTCGTGTTTGTTAGTTATCGTATTTACTAAAAAAATTACTTGTCAGTAGTCTGTTTAAGTCATAATTTATTTTTATTATTTAGACTAAAAACAACTATTTCTATTTCAGTGAAAAATTAAATAAATGTTTCAAAAGAAATAAGTGGATAATTTTCGTATTGTCTTAAAGGAAATATTGTAGGAAAAAGTTAGAATACAATAAAAAAAAGTATAATCCTGTTTTTAAAAAAATCACAAACAAGTGATATCGAGTTTATATATAGTTATAGATTTGAACAGAAAGTAATTTATTACATATAAAAACAAGAAGGTAATTTACTAATTTATCGCTAAACGACGCCAAGGATACGAAAACGACTGTTCCCAGCTTGAACTTGATGGTTAGTGAATTTCTCTGTAATTTTTTCCCCAAAATTTTCATCTCTCCCCAAAGCCATAGGGGAACACGCTCCCTGCCCAATTTCCGGCGACTTCACCCAATCTGTAAAATTCCCCACTCTCTCTATTCATCTCGCACTTGTTATCTTCTCCCCCTTCAATTTCTCGTAAGATTCATCCATCACGAACATGTATTGATTTCGTTTTTCTCACACTGATCTTATTTTTCAGTCGTTTTTCTTCGTCGGCAATTACCGCTTCAACAATCCAGATCTGAGTGCACATGAACCTTTGGGGCATTTGGGGCAACCTTGATTTGGGTTTTGAAGTGCTCCAAGGAAACTGGGGTCTCTAAATTTGGTGCCTTTTGTCTAATGACGAGTGGTGTTGCGTCAATTGCGGAGATTTGAGTAAGTGGGTCGCTGCTACAGTGGAGGAAGTTTGAGAATTGGGTTTTGATTCGTTTGAGGAAGTTTCGGGGAGGACTAGGTTTGTGTGAGAGAGTTTGTTGGGTCGGCGTCATGTTCTATGGTGCGGTGGTATGGGACCCTTGGCTTATTGTTGCTCAAATTGTTTGTCTTCAATGTTTGTACTACATCACCCTGGGGTTGTTGTTGTCGATACTTGTTGGCACACGCGTGTCTCGGATGAGCCTCGTGTATTTCTTTGACTATGTTGCGGTTACTACCACTACCGTCACTGGTTGGTGTGTTATTGCTTCATTTCTGCTCAGCTCAGTTGCAGGGTAATTGTACTTTTAATTTGTGATTAGTTAGCCTATAATTGATTGTGATAGTGACTTTGTTGCTATGACTTCACTCCTCAATAATGTGTATTGTAGTTTTTAACTTGAAAGGTTATATTCATTGTTTGTTTATTTATTTAGTCGTCATTGCTTCTTTGAAGTTTCTGAATGGACTTTTAGCATTTTTTTATAAATATTCTAACCATGTATATAGCTTCTTTCCTTTTTCTTTCTTTCTTTTCCATTTTTATTTAGTTTAGCAGCTTTATGCTTACTAGCTTATAAGTGAATGTTCATTCTGAAATATGTTTGTTCTCCTTGTGTTTGACTGATTTTGGCGTGTTCTAGTGTGGCTGTGTGGGAAAATAAATAAAAAGCTAAGCTTTGGACCTTTGAGATAGATGTGCCATTAATTAGGAAATTTGAAGTTCTCTTTCCTCCAGTAAGTTTGGAATGTTAAAAAAAATTGTGGTTTGATTTGTAAATTGGATCATGTGTTTGGAATGTCACAAAAATAGGCAATGACTTTTTTTTTTTTTTTTTTTTTTTTTCTCTTTCCTCCAGTAAGTTTGGAATGTTAAAAAAAATTGTGGTTTGATTTGTAAATTGGATCATGTGTTTGGAATGTCCCAAAAAAAGGCAATGACTTTTTTTTTTTTTTTTTTTTTTAATCCAGTGGATTTAATTTAACTGTTTAGATTTTGAAATTCTGTCAAGTATTATGTTTGTTATGTGATTATTTTGATTGGGAGGAGTGAACTGAAAGAGGCATCCTTAGCTGTTTTGGTTACGGCTTTTATTTACTTGGCTGAAATTATGTTGTAGCTTTACATTGTACTTACACCACCATTGTTTTAATGCAGGGCGGTGTACATGTTTTATTTGATTGAAAGATCAAAGAAGTGCTTGGATTTTTCAGCAACACTCTACATTGTCCATCTTTTTATATGCATTGTGTATGGGGGTTGGCCCTCCTCTTTAACATGGTGGATTGTGAATGGTTCTGGAATTGCAGTGATGGCTTTGCTAGGTGAACGTCTGTGCATAAAGCGTGAACTCCAGGAGATATCATTAACACGATATCGTTCAAGTAAGAAGCTCCTTGAACCTCTTCCTTGATGAATGTTTAACTGGCTAATTGGATATGTGTTATATAAAGATTGGTTTGTCTGTATTATATTTTATATATGTTGTTTTGTATTTTTTTTTTTATGTGTTTACTTATTTTTAGAAACCTGAATATATATTTAGGCTGTCAAACTCAATTTATATTAGGCAAACATTTAGATTCTTTATGTTGTGTTGGATGTTCTTTTCTTTCTTGCTTTTCTGGTCTTTCTCCTTTGGAATATTTGTGCTCAGAAGGCCAAACATTAATTTATGCATTAAGTTTTATATTGTCATTTCAGTTTGCATATCATGTTGCATTAAGTTTTATACTATTCTCTTTGTTGTTAGCTCATGTGGTCTAGAGCTATGGAGAGCAGTGGAGTTTGATCCCTAGCAGTAGGCTCCCCCAACTCCTGAAAACCAATAGGAGTTGGGTCTAATGTAAATGTAAAAGGCTAGCCACCTACATTTAGTGTCCGACCATAGTTCAAGGAGGATTGTCTTCTATGGAAGGTACTTGTGGGATCCCTTCCCCAAAGAGCCCTCTTTAATACTTAAGTAGGAACTGTAGGATTAGGGTATCCATACTCCAATTAGATCTAAGTTTGAGATCAAAAGTTGTGAAAATCTGTTGGATAGAACTTTAAATTGATAAAAGATCCTTGATGAATAATTTTTTGAAATTCTTGAAAGATTCTTCCTTCTAAACTCCCTTTCTTTGAAATTCACCTTCGACTTTTCTGGCTACTTGTCCTCCACCTCCACCATCTACCTTGAGGTTATTGAGGTTTCCTGATAAGAACTCAGAGGATGGCTCAATCTTTATGACATAGGTGAACACAGAAAAATTAAAAGAAATAAATATAAAAGAAAGATAAGGTTTGATTCAATGACCTGAGAAGTGCAAATTGCCCACCACCGTTATAGAGAACGTGATCTGCTTATTAGACCGCTAATCCAACCACAAACACAAGTTAACCAATCCACACATCAAGACACTTGGGTTGAAGTACAGATTGGGGGCTTTTGTGAATTTGGATCACCAATTCTATAGAGGAGAACTGACAAGGCAAGGTTTCACATGAGCTAAAGCAAATATAACTCTCACACTATGGAGAAATAAACTCAAATTCTCATTCAGATTCAACTTGATCGTTCTCAATTAATGACTTTCTATTTATAGGATACCATAGTAGGAAAAAGTGACATCGAACAAATCCTAATGTTAACTGGAAAAAAATCCTGGTAATTAGATAAGATCTCCATCCTAATAGAGGAAACAAATCCCAAAAATAAATAAAAACATTTCTTAATCAGATTTTCTTATATTAACTCCAAATGTTAATAATAAATTCTAAATATCTCCAAATATCTTAAAGATTTTATATTTGTTGGCCTTTATTGGGGACCTCTTTATTTTGGATTTCAATTTCCTTTGGCTCGCATAACTAAGATCTCATTCTCATTTGTTTCTCCTTAATTCTCTTGGGCTAGATTTGCACCCTCATGGGCCCCAATTGCCTCTTGTATCTTTCTGAGCTTTCCCTCTTGTTAATGGGTCATCACTTAGAGTTGGGTCATTTTTCTACTTGGTCTTTGTCATGCAAGATGTTACTTTGGTTCATATTATTTCCCATCTTAGTCAAGATCCAAACAAGTACCAATCTCCTTGAACCAAGCCTCCATGTCCTGCCCTGCACCAAACCCAATGCCCCAACTCTGTGAACCCACCATGGAACCACCACCAGATCCTGTCAACAACCACTTCACTTCCTCAAGCATCAAACTGCCAAACTGAAATCCAACCATCTGGTCGTCCCTGTTCTCTAAACTAGCTGTTCTCCAGCCCAGCTCATTAGCAAATGGCGGTGGCTATTGCAAACTGTAAAACTTGCAGTCTTTTCGGGGAAACAACACTCATTAACTTAGAATATTCATTATGTGGACACTAGTTAAAAGACAGGCATGTCTTGCCTCAGTTACCTGTCTATCCACATTTTTTTATTTTTTGGGTAAATCATTTAATTTAATTTCCTTTTACAGTTTAATATGTTTAGATTGATGTGGGAGTCTGAAAAAGAGTAGTGGGTGGTTTGGGGTGCAGTTGAAGACTAAAATAATATTAACAAAATATGTACACCAAATGGGAGTATTCCTTTTATTATTGTTATAAATGTTGGTTGATTATTCCTGTGGTTTAAATGTTTAATACTGTGGAGTTCCTTGCAGATGTTTGATTGGCAGAAGTACTTTTTAATTCAAGAAAGAAGTGCTGCAGAATGGTAACAACTTTTGCTTCTATATATGGGATGATCTACAAGATGAAGCCCAAGAAGTGAATAGTTCTATTCGGCCATTGAACCTACATGTCCTTTATTCTTTAGTTGCAATAGAATTGAAACATATATAACCAAGACAAGACTAGGTACATAATTTTTCAGGAATTTCTGGAAGTCTTAACTCTTAATGTAGTTTATTTCTATTCTATTTGGATTTTCCCGCCATATAGTATTGTCGGTTAAGGTGATGCATTTGGTTGATAGAGTTTCTATTCTTTTTACCCTTTTTGTGAGTTTTCGGATCTGTTTACAATCATGGAATTATATGTTACTTCTTTCTGTCCCATTACTTTTAAGGAGGTTGTTATATCAGATAGCAGAATGCAGAATGAATCTCTTAGTCAGATTTTTTTTTTTTTTTTTTTTTTAAAACTATATTGATCGATAAGTTCGCACCACATTTTGTGCTCGATCTTCCTCTATATAGTTTAATTACCAACGCTACATTGTCCCTGTGGTTCCTTATTAATAATCGAAATTGTTAAAGTTCTGTATATGAAAAAAAGTGCATCATATATTATCATGGTTCACCTTGATAAATATCTAAATTAGCTTTTCTTTTACGTGATTGATGGAGTGCTGATGCACCAAATCACCTCAAGACTTGTACTTTGATGATAATATTTCTTCATTTCTACGTTAAAGGAATGAGATTTAAACCACTCTATTCATCCCTTGTCATGGTAATGAAGCTTGTTTAAGCAAAAGTTACAAGACGAATTACTTGATTTACACGTAGGTATTGGATGCTCTGGCTCCGCTAACGATCGCTCTCTCTTTTGTTAGTGCGAGGTATATTTTTCAACTTGGGAAAACATAATATTTCTAATTAAGGGAAAAGAAAAAAAAAAGAATATAGTCACATCAGAAAAAAGAAGAAGACTGGAACGCTCGTCTTTGATCCTTTCTCTGCTTTTAAAATATCTATTCATATTTATCAATGTCCACAGAATAAAAGCATCCTAATATTTTTGCTTGGATGCTCTTTCCC